AAATAACATCATACTCAACTCTTTGACAATTATTTAAATTGCGCTGTTGTATTGCCAGTGCACGTTAGACATGCCCTGGGTGTCCGAGCGAGCACGACTGCGTCTCATTTATGGCTAGTGCTGTGAAGTGCGGCGACAGATGGCTTCAGTGGGACCTAAATCTTGTCTTGGTCACGATAATTTTGACAGTTACGACCACTACTGTCCAGTCGGCGGTGACCAATGAGCAGTAGAGGTGTGGGTGGCGACTATACTTTGCTCTTTCCCCTCTATTATCCTCTGTTTCCCCTCGACGAGCGCAACTGCATGCGTCTCGTGTAAAGTCAGTGCTCTGCAGAACAAATTTTAATTTATATTTCTTCAACATAATTTCGAACTTACTCATTAAAAGCTTCTTACGTGTTAGTCTCACATTGGTAGTTAATTTCGCACGTTAAGCATTAAATAACATCATAATTCAAAGGCTTTAACAATCATTAAAATTGCGCTGTTGTAGTGCCAGAAAACGTTAGCCATGCCCAGGGTGTCCGAGCGAGCACGACTGCGTCTCATTTATGGCTAGTGCTGTGAAGTGCGGCGACAGATGGCTTCAGTGGGACCTAAATCTTGTCTTGGTCACGATAATTTTGACAGTTACGACCACTACTGTCCAGTCGGCGGTGACCAATGAGCAGTAGAGGTGTGGGTGGCGACTATACTTTGCTCTTTCCCCTCTATTATCCTCTGTTTCCCCTCGGTTCCCTTACATTTTGCTATGTGTGTCCATTGAAGTTGGGCACGAGTTGAGTGAAGAATTTAAAGATTAATCGCGTCGAGGACAGTGAGTTCGGCTGACATTTGAGAATTTTGCTTCTCTTTTTTGCGCAATTAATATGATTACCAGCGAAAGAATTTATTATATTATCAAATTGATAATATAATCTATAAATTGATAATATAATGAATTATTTAATCTAAACGGACTTTGAAACTTGAGTCGCCCCTGCTATCAACTCGAAACCTCTAGATTAAAATTAATGAATGGTATAAATTCATTTGTTATGTTTCAATAACGTACAAAGATTCTCGCTAGAAAATTGTCCTTAAAAAATTCATTTGGAAACAAATACGTTTGTGTTAGACTGTGGAAACTGAGGTACGAAGCGTGCATCAATAAAATACTTGCTACTATGTTACTCAGGCACTATGAGTGTACTATGATCTTATATATACACTCAACATAGTATAGTACTACAGGTATTTCCTGCGCACACATCTGTGCTACGTATAGGATATATATAGGAGCTGCTCTATATATAGGCGCTATGCAGGAACGTCTAGCCATCAGCTGAGGGCTGGTGGTTGTTGCCTTTAATTATGCCGCGCTTGTAAGCTATTGTAGAAGCTTTCATATTAATTAATTGCGCGTAGTATAAAACGTATGCATTCATAGTTAATTAAAAATTGTTAAAAATCGGGTTACCGTTTTTTTAACTTTTTTGCATAGTTTTCCACTCATAATTGCCCCAAAAAATACGGTCGACGACTACAGTGAAATATTGTTCTAAATTATCCAACCAACTTAATGTAGTCAATATATGTAATTAAATAGGAAAAACGTGCTCTTTTTTGCCTTTCTTTGGCTGCTCTAAGTTGGATCCTGAGATGGATCTATCGCTCAAATTGAACCCTTATAAGGTCTCCCGTGAAATTGGGGCTAAAATAAATTTTTGGAACTTTGTGGAGAAAACCATAACGAGAAACTGAACAGGAAACCAGAATATATTATTCATTTATTGAAATTTTGTGAATTAGTTACAACAATATCTATTGATGGCACACAGCAGTGGATGAAGGAAGTTTCATGTACTTCAATCATGTTGCAGACCAGAAACAGCGTATGAGTAAGTATATTAAAAAGACGCATGCTATGTAGAGTACAGAAATAAAAGCGTAAGTAGCGTAGATAAAGGAAAAAGTGAAGGTAGCATACAGAAAAAAAGTGTAGGTAGCGTATAGAAAAAAAATGTACGCGGCATACGCAGACGCATGTGTACGTCGAGTACAGAGACGTTTGAGTACGATAGCGCACAGAAATAAAAGTGTACGTAGCGTGCAGAGGCGCATGAGCACGGAGAGTACAGAGATGCTTGATCGAGTACGTAGCGTTTAGAAAACAAAAGTGCATGGAGCGTAGGGAGACAAAAAAAAAAAAACACGCAGAAGACAGAGATGCATGCATACGTTGAATGCAGAGACATATGTACGTCGAGTACAGAGACGCATGTATACGGAGAGCACAGAGATTGAGTACGTAGCGTTTAAAAAACAATAGTGTATGTAGCGTACGGAGACAAAAGTACACGCAGAAGACAGAGATGCATGCATACTCTGAATGCAGAGACATGGGTACGTAGAGTACAGACACGTGTACGTAGAACGTGTTTTCTCCATAAGACAGAAGCCCATTTGTAAAAAAAACGCGAATATCTAAATGTCCAAACTCGTAAAACCACCGTGCTTCAATATTCAAAACAAAACAGCGGTTTTAAAAAATATAGCAGTAATGTACGTATTCTAAATTTACTGATTAATTAAAATCATTAATTTAATGAAACTAATAACTTGAGAAGTAAGAAAAATTATTTTTCAAGAGTCAAACAAAACGAGATTCTGTGATGAAATGGAATATTTGATTGTAGTTTACCCGCGCTCGTTCTGTGTTCTAATTAAAGAAAATAAGGGTCAGCCCTCGATGACGGCCAGTCTCCCCTCCTGAGGGTCTTGGACCTCTACTACTATTCGCCCAATCACTCTTTAATCGATTTTGACTCGCGCGAATTCCGAAGGGATGTATTGTATATGTTGCGCGTATGTATTGTATGTGTTGCTCGTATGTATTGTATGTGTTGCGCGTATGTATTGTATGTGTTGCGCGTATGTATTGTATGTGTTGCGCGTATGTATTGTATGTGTTGCACGTATGTATTGTATGTGTTGCATTCGCAGCGAATACAATACAAGTCTAGAGAACTCGGAAATTTGCGTATAAACCGACATTCATACATGAAGAAAATATAGTGAATATTTTCATAAACTGTGTTGCACATTTATGCATCTCTGGGTCATTTAGACTCATTTTGGCCCTAGTTTTTACACCAGGATAACCTAAACAAATGCAGAAAATGCATCATTATTTAAACAACTCCCCTGCATTTTCTCTGTGTGTATCGTAGTCTAATGTACAGGATAATGAATGAGCAGCGAAAAGAGAAGTGCAGGAGAGGCCGATGATGGATTGTAGGCAATATATATATACTCAACATAGGCCTGCCCGGCGCATGCAAATGTAGGCCTACATCCATCACCCTCGCCGCTGCCTCTAAGCTTGAATATGATCCTTATGTCGGTAAAGAGGCTATAGTGTTTGATGCGTGCAGCCATATAATAGTTATGTAATGTAAAATAGTATAATACGATATAATAGAATAATATAATATAATTTAATTTAATATAATATAATATATTCTAATTTAATATATATTTTATTCGTACTCTAAATTTTACAATTAATTCGACAGCTTTACGCGAGAATAAAACATTTGACTGCGTAACTTTCAGACTTGCACTTTGATGCAAATGTTCGTGAGTAAAATTAATGTTCCAGCGATCTTTCCTAAATAGGAATAACTTAAGTGAATTGCAACACCTGCATCCGTATGTTGAATTCAGCGCCTATATCCTCTTCTCCAGCAAACATGATCGCGATGTTGGCCATTTCCGGAGCTTCGATTGCCAGCATCGCAGCTGCCCAGAATCAATACTAACGATAAACGCCTGTAAAACCATTCAGCTTTTCACGCTCAAATAGGAATTGGAAAAGAACACATTTTTCGAGAATTTGTCCGCAAAGAAAATTTTTTCTTCGAGAAACATAATTGTGAAAATTCTACTGAACCTTTCAAGTAAACTTATGTAACTCACCTAAGAACTAAAGATCAATTTCACCCGTCAGTAAAGGCTCACTAATTGTGATTACTAATTTCAACTAGGAACTCTACTCAGGAAGTGATAATCACCGCACACAAACATTAAAGCAAAATGTTGTTCACAACAGGAAATTTCAGTCTGCGCGTGAGCGCAGAACACTCAGAAACATACATGGGTCAATCAAAAAGTGACACACTTTAACACGTAGCACTGATACATCATTTTTCTCGGTTAAACTGGGTCAGGTTGACACACAGAAGGGCAAAAGGTAAATGATTATTCGTACAAAGTATTGCTTATTTCTTTGAGTGAAGAAGTTTGGGTTATTTTTCTCGGCCAAATTGGGTCAGGTTGACACACAGAAGGCCAAAAGTAAATAGTTATTTGTACAAAGTATTGCTTATTTCTTTGAGTGAAGAAGTTTGGGTTATTTTTCCCGGCCAAACTGAGTCAGGTTGACACACAAAAGACCAAAAAGTGAATCGTTATTTGTACAAAGTATTGCTTATTTCTTTGAGTGAAGAAGTTTGGGTTATTTTTCTCGGCCAAACTGGGTCAAGCTGACACACAGAAGACCAAAAGGTAAATCATTATTTGTACAAAGTATTGCATATTTCTTTGAGTAAAGAAGTTTGGGTTATTTTTCTCGGTCAAACTGGGTCAGGTTGACACACAGAAGGGCAAAAGGTAAATCATTATTTGTACAAAATATTGCCTATTTCTTTGAGTGAAGGAGTGTTGGCTATGGCAGCAGCCCGCCACGCGTGTAGTNATAAAAATACATGAACAACAATTTCTTCGATGGTATTGATTGAAAGTTTTCCAATGAATTAAATGTCAATAACTTCCATTAACTAAATGACAATGATATCTATTACTTAGAATGTTAATGACTTTCATTGACAAAAATTTCAAGGAATTCCATCAATTAAAATGTCTATGACTTCCAATAATGAAAAAAAGGTTATAGTTGAGAATACCAATTTTATCTCAAGGGCTCAGAGATTGCGGCAGGGTAATAAAATGTGAGAAACAGAACCTCCATTTATTCAAAGTTCTGAAAAAATGATATGCATATCGACCAACAGATTTTAGTGTCTGATATGAGACTTGATATCATTCATACACGGCGCTCTCATCTGGAGCGATGAAGAACAGAGCTTCATTCAGCGCTTGAGTAGCTGAATAAAAATTATAACATAGAATGTACATTCAATGAAAGGCCTATAAAAGATCTTTCTGAGTATTCTTAGTATCGTATTTGTACAAAATATTTACACTCTCCAAAGCCCAAAAACACAACCTAAAATTTTTTTTTTTTCATGTTAGTATCAGATAGTAGAATTAGCTTGTATAAACACGTGCGATTATTTCAATGTCGAAACGAAATATTTGAGACTTATATATAGCTTCGCTTGTTTCTGCGTTGCAGAATTTTTTCTGTAATACCAACAAAATTTGATAATATTTTATGATAATTCCATAAAAAATATAATATCCTGATAATACCACAATTTATTAAAAGAGGGATCAACAAAAACAATTGAAGACAAATTCGAAACTCTTCTCATCGCTGTTGTGCCAAGGTCTTTGGAGATATAAAAAATTAAATCGGAAATTTTTCATACTATGGAGACGGAATGAATGAAAATTTATTTGTTTCAATAAAGCGGCAATGTGTTAACATCTGCAAGTCAAATAATTAAACTTGAATAAGACGTCGACATCCTTCCCGATATGAAGGCAGACAAATGGTTCTGAATTAGCTGCCGAGTTGAAAAAAATGCAAAAATAATACGGTTGCAGAGTTAACTAAAAATCTAGAGAAATACGGTTATTGAATTAACAAAATACAAGTGAAATGCAGTGGTCGGGTTGACAAAAAAAGCAAGAAAAATACGGTTGCCGAGTTTACTAAAAAACTAGAGAAATACGGTCGCCAAGTTTACAAAAATGCAAGATAATTACGACTGCCAAGTTAGCAAGAAACTAAACCACTATTGTTGCAAAATGAAAAAAAAAACAAGAGAAATACGGTTGCCGGGTTGAAAAAACACAAAAGTAATACGGTTGACGACCAAGAAAACAAAATGTGAAAAAAACTGTTGCAAATATAACGAAAAAGCAAGATGAATACGTTGCGAGCTAACAAAAATGCAAGAAAATTCGGTTACCGATTTGATTGAAAATAAAGATGAAATTTGCTTATAAAGTTTACGACAAGTAAAGAAAAATACAGCTTCTGATTTGACCACAATACAATCAAATTCGTTGTATTCTTTACGAAATTGCAACATGTATATTAAATTTGTTATTGATTAAGAAAATCATAACAATTTGTTTAGATCTTAGAGAAAATGATATTTAGAGATTCCAGTTATTTTAGGAAGAAGCATTCCAAATTTTCAAACGAAAATTTTTACTAATTACTTTTTATTATTTCCATTTTTTAAAATCCGCCAAGGAAACTTTGATCCTTGACAACAATTAAAATAACTTGGTAACATAATAGACAAATTTACAGCCATTTAATTAACATAAAACTATTGTATAACAATTAGAAAATGATTACTGTGTTATAGTTACCGCACAGGAAAATATTTTCATTGAAAAATAATTTCATTATTTTCACTACTATCAAACTTAATGCTACAATTGCCACTTCATGTAGCAGATCAATGGGATCAGCTACGCAATTGAAAAAAAATCTGTTATGTAAATAGAAGACGTATGAAGCAACTCCTTTGGTTTAGCTTCAGTAATTTTGCAAAATGTCAGCAAAAAATCTGCAATTTTTTTCATACTTGAAGGAATTCATTTTGGTTTAGACATCATCTGTCATTATGTCGTCACGAGAAGAGGTTGGCCGGTCGGGGAAGCAGAAGGGGAATTATGGGGCTGAGATAATAGCTGACTAATGGAGTGGGAGGATGTGCCCGAGTGGGGAAGGCATGTTGCTGCCAGCGGTGGGGACATTAATCGTGGGGAGTCACCATTTTCACTGCAATGCCCATTGCGGTCAGCAGGGGAGTTCAGGGGTGGACTGGGGTTATGATGTGGAGATGCTGGGGGACTTGTTTCCCCAGACTCCACTCCTTCGAGGGGGAAACGAAAAAAAGATATACAAAATTAACATATAATAAAAGGAATAATTTAATTATTCACACAATTAAACATCACTATTCCTGGATATTTACATTATTCCCTCAAAATGATACCCACAAAAATTGCAGAAACTAAAATTTGGCTTTCATCAATTTAAATTATAACTTTAATCAATAAGCAACCCACCTGTCATTCTTTTAGATAACGGCAAAGGATTTTCCCCCTCCCTCTCTCTCTTGAGATTTAAAATATCCTGCTTCTCCGTCAGCCCTCGCAGCACGCGCTCGCCGATGCCACTGGCGTTCCCTAGGAGCGCAGCTATGGAGCCTGGCAAGGCAGCCAGAGGGAAGCGAGGGTAGCTGAAGACAGAGGCACCCAGTGGCATGCCTCGCACTGCACCCGCTGAGCAAGATGGACTAGAAGTCGTTGGAGTCTTCAGTTGCAGGTAATTTGATGCGAGAGGACTAGATGGTGGCAACGCAACTGAGGTTTTGGTTGTTGCGTGGCCACTGCGGCTGTTTCGGGACTTGTGGCTCTTCGCTGCAGACGAGCTTGGAATGTCGTCCTCGTGGCCTTTGTGAGTGACCATGTGCTGCCTCATGTTTCCCTGCAATGAGGTGGGAAAACGACCGATGACAGTGAGTCGTGAGTCTAAGTAATACATATTGTGATAATAGCGTCAGTCTCACGGTAATTTCAATATGCGAATGAAATAATAAAAATTTATTCGTTCTCTTAAGAAATTCACTGCATTCTTCGCTTTTGGCTGATTGAATTAGCTGTACCGGAGATACTCGTCCGTGTACATGAACTATACTTATCTGTTACTGAGGAGACTCACCCGCGTGCATAAACTACTTATCTGTTAATGAGGAGACTCACCCGCGTGCATAAACTACTTATCTGTTACTAAGGAGACTCACCCAGTGTACATAAACTACTTATCTGCTAATGAGGAGACTCACCCGTGTACATAAACTACTTATCTGTTAATGAGGAGACTCACCCGTGTGGTGAAGCGCCGGTCGCACACGGTGCACACGAACGGCCGGTCTTTGGAGTGCGACCGGTAGTGGATTTCCAGAGCCGATGCGCACGACAGCGTCTTGAAGCAAATTTTGCACGTCGTGTTACCCTGAACTGGGGAGGAAAATAGGCCACCAAACCGTGAAACTTTGTAATTTTTTATTTTAAGTTTGAGAGATAACCTAAAACTTTATAGTGATTGGGAGTTCAATAAACGAATTTTATTATAAACTTTTTGTTGAGGTTGAAGTTTTCGATCTCTATGAACGAAATAAAAATTTTATAGCACAATATAACAGATGTTTATAAATTGTATACAGGATATTTTTTAGATGGTAACGATCAAGTTCAATTTACATCAAACGAAAAATTCATCAGTTTCAAAACATTTATTATTGGAAAATGGCTGCATGAATTAAACTCACCTGGAATGTTCATCATACTTGAAAAAAATCTTGATTTATCAAACTGTAGCGCGGCGTTGAGATGATTTGGCATGAGAGGTGGAGGGAACAGAGCGAAAGGAGGGAATAGAGAAGACGGATGAGGAGGCCGGATAGGCATGTCCATGGAAATTTTTTGCCCTTCTTGCTTGGAATGAATCTGAGGAGATTTGCAACGAGGAGAAAACTGGCCGTTATTCGATGGTGACTTCACGGGGGGTGAGACGCTGGTGTCCTCTGACTTATCCCTGGCGTGAGCTCTACTTGAAAAATCTAAAGGTTTTGGTGAATGCAACCTAGATGGAGAAACAGGTTCATCGGTTTCTTCCATGTCACATGTATACTTATGAGGCTGATCCTCTACATTATCTAAATTATTTCGACGGAGGAACGAACTCCTATTATGTTCATCGTCTTCTCCAGTATCGCGTTGATTATGATCAACAGGAAAATTTGGTCGCAGCTGCTGAACTAGAGGAAGAAGATGAGGAAGGTGGGCATAGTTAGGCAAAGCAGAAAAGAAAACTGGGTGCATGGCACTTGCAATATTATCATGAACTTCGGCTGCGGCTATTTGTTCATTGGAAATATCAGTTGGTTCTCCTGTGTGTTGCCGTATATGTTGCTGAAGAACCATCGCACTATTGTACCGTTTGTGGCACACCGGACATTGATGTAACATACGGACCGGCGGTCGGGCTCTATGTACACTCATATGTGTCTTCAGATTCCCTTTGGTGGTGAAAGTGCGAGAACAAATTTTGCATTTGTATGGACGTTCACCCGTGTGTATCCGATAATGCATTTGTAGGGCAGATTTACATGACAGAACTCGATGACAAATAATGCACTGATTTGGATCAGTAAGTTTATTCTCTATATTATTTACCAATTGTTCCAGTTTCATGGTCTCACTGGCTTTCTGAACTTCAATCAACGCCTCCCAGGAGTTGTCGTTGCAGCCTGGCCGAGGTAAGAAGTTGGTGTAGATATTTGGGTCTTTGGTCAAATCAAGACCGCCATCTATGGAGGCCCCTTCCTGATTTTCGTTCGAATTTCTGCCATGGGCCGTGAATAAATTCATATTATGAGGGATATTCATGCCAGGAAATGCAACCATATGCAATTCTCGTTGACGGTGCAAGTAATTAATTAATTCTTTGTTAATTTGTGTGTCACTAGCATGACTGCCTGGGCTGCTAGAACCATCGTTACTGAAGTCACCATCGTAAGTTCCGTTCAAGTCATTTTCAATCGAATCTCTTGCATCGACGGAATCTTTTTCGCAATTATTTAGTTCAAAGTTTTCATCATCTCCTGACTTGTTAAGCACGCTCTTCTGACCATCACTGTCTGAATCGTATGCTATTTCTTTCGAACGCCTTTCGTTCCGCATTTCATCTGATACAGAGCAAGTCAAACGGGCAGAAGTTTCTTCGAATGAAGAAAGGCATGGAGAGGCTTCATCGCTTCTGCGAAAAATTTGTGAGAATCTTTGACTAAGAGGTTCATTTCCTTCGATCATCCGGCGGTACAACAAAGACGCTGCTAATGGTTGCTGAAGTGAAAGAGGTGCGGTGGGTGACAAATTGAACTGAGGCGGAGGTGTAGGTTGGGATGCCGGAGATGCGAGAGAAAATGGGTTTGGAGGTCCGGTAGGTGCAGGTGGACTGTCTTCCAACTCTCCTAACTGCGCCAAAAGAGGGGGACACAATTTGTCTAAGTGTTCTGGAACAGGATTATGATTCATTTTTATGTGGGGAAACCTACTCTGGTGTCGCTGGAAATGAACCTTTAAATTGCCCCGTGTTGTGAAACGATTACCACAGATGTTGCACTTGAACGGTCGTTCTCCAGTGTGAGATCTCAAGTGTATTTGCAGACCTGAATCGCTGCCGAAAACTTTTCCGCAATACCGACACTTATGTTTGTGGTTACTGTCCCGTCCTTCCGTATTATTTGCATCTTGTATGAGATGGTGGGTGAAGATTCCTTGGGAGGCTTTCGTCAGGACGTGGTTTGCTGTTTGCTGAAGTTTCTCGAGAGAGCTTGTCTCGCTGCTGGCTGGAGGTTCAGCCCCCAAAGGGACTCCGTTTACCCCATAGCAGGACGACTGGGATTTGGGTGTGGGGGAAAGAGGGCGATCACGCGGATCAATTTTATTGGATGAAAGATCTGATTTCTCTGACGGCTCAAAATCCGTTTCAGGTTTAAATTTCTGCAGCAGGCCTTTGAGTACATCCTCTGGAGACTTTTTCGCGCTTTCAGGAAGAGGCCGTGAAATATGGTTGACTGTTATTTGTGAAGAACGAGGGTCAGCGTCATTGACATCTCTTTTATCATCGTGTGCAAGAGACAGCTGTACTTGAATTTTTTTAATCAGTTGCACTTGCAACATCTGATGATGCTGCAACGCATAATAAGCTCGTTGTAACGACGTCATTTGTTCCAAAGATTTTGAATTACTTCCGTCATCAGACTGAGATAAACCAGATTCAGATTTCAGTCCAGACATTTGCGTGTGCATTCCTTCGTTGTCAGGGATGCGTTTGCTCAAATCTGCTATGAGACAGCGAAGCTGATCCAAGTTTGGCTTCTGGCCCACAGCCACACCTTGATGCTTCCAGAGCGACTGTTCAGCAGCCGCCGGAGATGCTCTTCCATCGAAGTTAAATTGAGTGTCATTCTCTTTGTTGGGCAGAGCAGAGTGACATTCGTCGAGACGACTCCTGGCTTGTGATGCTACATCAGAAAACTCTAGGCAGGAAACTCCGTTGTTTTTTCCTGCAATAGAATTGAAAAGAAGAAATACGTTACCCGCAATACGTAAACAAACAATAGAAATTGAAAATAAATTAACCGACTATTCCCCTCTACTGAAAAGCTCTGAAAAGGCTCTTTTTCTGGATAAAATGTCCTATAAAATTTCCCCCAAAATTCCTATTATATGTTGCCCGTGTTTATTTATTGGGTCCCATTACTGGCGGCCTTTTTCCGCCTTTTCCGCTCAGTTCTGGTTATTTTCATTGCTATTGTAGGGAGAACTTTAGGCTGCTTCCGCCCGTGAGGGTCGAACGAGCGCCGGCGAGGGGAGCTCGTGCAGACCCTTGCAAGGCATGACTGCTGCTCAAAATAATTCTAGCATCAGCCCAAATTTTCCTCCCAATGAATGTTTATTTTCCCTCGTCGAAATCATTCGCCTAAATTTTTCTCGATAGATGATAATTATAATTTTCCCCCAAATAAAAATTACGCTTGAATTTATCTCGTTGGTCGTGAATCTCCCCTCCCCCGTCAAAATTATTCACCTAACTTTTTCTCAATAGCTTTTAATTCCCCCCCCTCCCCTCTAAAATTATTCACTTAAATTTATCTCGTTGATCCTGAATCTCCCCTCCCCCTCAAAATAATTCGCCCGTATTTTGACCGTTGATTAGAAATTATCCTCCTCAATTCTAGCATGAGCGCAAATTTTGAATAAATTTCCACCAATAACTGTACATTTTATCCCTAAATTTCCCAATGATAGTTCATTTTTCCCATAAATTTCCCCAATGATAGTTCATTTTCCCTTTTAATTTCCCCAATGATAGTACATTTTTCCATTAAATTTCCCGAATGATAGTTCATTTTTTTAAGACTGTAGGGTAATTTTTCTGGGGCAGTGGTAATTAGTAAGTAACTTTTCTTCTTTACATGGCGGAACATGTAAAAGCTAGATATGTGGAGGTGGACGAAAATGAATTGTGTAAATATGTAAATTATCTCGTTTGTCAGTAAAGATGAAGTAAAAACTATAGTCGTATAATATTTGTGCGACACTAATTTTGGACACTACTAATTTCTTCGGTCTGATTGCTTGACTTCATTTACATTTAATGACATCCTATTATGAAACAGAAAAATAAACTGGTTAATTGTACACAATAAAAGCTTCTTCCACATTATTCATAGATGAGTGCAACAAATATACTCAAATTATCACTGAACTTTTTTCAAGACTGAAGAAAATAAAAAAATACAGCGAGGTTGCGATCGCAGTGGTTACTTCAAACGAAATATCTAAATTACAATTAAACTACAAAGTAGTTAGGAAAATATCAGATTCATGAAACATATACATAATGCATATGGATTAATTAGTTATCCGGCTGGAAATTTGAATCTCTAATAAAATTATCGATTGAAAACCAGCCGTTGAAAAGCTGCATATATATATTTGCAGCAAGAAGTCAGTAATCATATCAACAATTATCAATCCGAAACCGGCTCTACTTCAGCAAAAAATAGCCTGCGACACAAATTGAGCATTTCAGAACCGAACAAAACAATACAGTGACCGAAAGCAGTAGGTACCGAACGTCTGTTGAGCTCATTACATATATATTCCATTTACGATCTTTGAACATGATGACGCATAATTCACAACTCTTTTACATAATACCTAAATTTCAGCAGCCGGTGTCTCAGTTGCACAATTAAACTGCATAATGTTGACTATTTTATGAGAAAAATTCAATGTATTCATAATTATAAAAATCTCTGCATATATACAACAGAGTGATGTAATGTCATGTACATATATAGTATTCAAGTGATTTGCTATTTCCGATAAATGTTATACAAATGTACATATTTTATGTATACATCGCACACACGTGACTATATTATCCTATTTATAGACTCTGTTGGCAAACAGGTCCATTAAGTTTTTTCTGGCATAACTCTAGTTATAAGTCTGAGTTATTTTCACTAAGGCGGCCTTCAGTTCGATAAGAATTGCAATCACTCATATATAATAAGTGTCTAATTTGGCCTTCATTGCGACAAAATTAAAGATTTAACAAGCAAGTACCTGAAATTTAAGAATGAAAAGTCACATATATATGTATATTACACGATATTAATGAATTTGGATACTGACTAATTTATATCGGTGATGATGCAATTCGAATTCATCATTTACCAGTCCCCAGTCACTGCACCAACCAACTCCTCAACCATGAACTCCACTAGTGCAGTTCTCAGTCACTGCACCAACTAACTCATCAACCATGAACTCCACTAGTGCAGTTCCCAGTCACTGCACCAACCAAATAATGAGGAGACTCACCCGTGTACATAAACTACTTATCTGTTACTGAGGAGACTCACCCGTGTACATAAACTACTTATTTGCTAATGAGGAGACTCACCCGTGTACATAAACTCCTTGGCCCATACTTTCAATAAAAAGTTGAGAGATCGTAAGTTCATCAGCCAATCATTGACGGCCTTTCAAGCAAAATCCACCAATCATAGACAAGAGAGTATATAAGTACTTACGTCCACTTAGCCAGTTTTGAAAGTATGGCCCCTTCTTTTCCGTTAATGAGGATACTCACCCGTGTACATAAACTTCTTATCTGTTAATGAGAAGACTCACCCGTGTACATAAACTCCTTATCTGCTAATGAGGAGACTCACCCGTGTACATAAACTACTTATCTGCTAATGAGGAGACTCACCCGCGTACATAAACTACTTATCTGTTACTGAGGCTGTCTCTTATACACATCTAGATGTGTATAAGAGACAGGTGCAGTTCCCAGTCACTGCACCAACTAACTCCTCAACCATGAACTCCACTAGTGCAGTGCCCAGTCACTGCACCAACCAACTCCTCAACCATGAACTCCACTAGTGCAGTTCCCAGTCGCTGCACCAACCAACCAACTCATCAACCAAGAGCCTTGCACTGGAATACGATACAATGTACCAATTGCATTTATAAATAGATATAAAATCATTTTAACCCGTCAAGAAATGACAGCATTATCTAGGTTATACTATAAACCAAGTTTGACCCAGTCACTGCACCAACCAACTTTTCAACCATGAACTCCACTAGTGCAGTTCCCAGTCACTGCACCAACCAACTTTTCAACCATGAAGTCCACTAGTGCAGTTCCCAGTCACTGCCCCAACCAATCAACTCATCAACCAAGAACTGCCTTGTATCGGAATACAATACAATTTACCAATTGCATTTATAAATAGAAATAAAATCATTATAACCCGTCAATAAATGACAGCATTATCTAGGTTATACTATAAACCAAGTTTGGAGGCAATACGTGTGATTATGCAAGCAAATAACATTTTGGATCATTGAAATTTTACAGATTTTCAGTTTGCGAAACATGATGTCTGGTATTGGATGTTTTTTAGTTTTCCAAATTAAAAGTTGTAAAGTTTAATAAATGATTTAAAATTTTTCGCATATAATCTAAACCAACTTTTGTTTTAAATGTCAATTAAAGAATGTATTGATTTAATTTACTTCGCAAATGTGTAACAGAATTCATTAGCAAAACAAAATAAAATTGTAAACAATGATCTAAGCCGATTGATACATATTAAAATAAAAGGTAAAAATTCAAAAATTCATCATGTGCCCTTAGTGCGATGTAATTAGGCTGTTGAATACTTTACTTTTTATAACATATTCTAATAGAAAATACAAAAAAATTTATTTACGTCAAAATTATCAAAGTTAATGATTCATGCTACAATATTTTGAAATATGCAGGACATTCATCTCCATATACATGTACATGGCAGATATACTCGGTCATTTGAAATTGTACGCGTGCGTAAATTTTTCATATGCAAGTTAAATTAATGTGTTTAAATTTTTAAAATATCACACAAGTACTGCTTATCTTGAAAAGAAGTGGTGTCATGCTATTTTTTTTTTTCATTGGACTTTAATAATTATACGCTCAGAATATTAGCGCGCATCTTAATTTTCGCACGGGCAGGTTGAATATCTATGATATTTCTGCAAACATGATAAACATTCGCCCAAATCACTACAAAAATACTAAGGGGAAAAATTAAATTAGAAGTTAACAGTTAATTTAAAGTGAAATTATTTTACATTATTCCTGTAATTAAAATTAAAAACCAATAAGAAGTACTGTTGTAAATAATGATTCTCATACTTTATATTCGCTGTGTCAATAGATTAACATTTACTGGTTTAAAAAAATGAACATGTACTTAGCAGTTAATTAAAAGAGGACACATATGCAAAAAAAACTGTAAGGAAGTTTATAAAATTGATTGCCATAGTGAACACTCACGTGATAGTGAAGGGTCGTCATTATCGTCCTGCAGTTCAATGCCCCTCGTCACCTCACCGGCGTCAGCTCCTTCATCCTGGCCATCGTCGCGATCCGCAATCTTCTGATCATCTGCACCATGCAAGTCATCATAGTCGGTATCGTCAGCACGATGATCGAGTCCGACGTGCTGCTGCTCAGCTTCGTCGCGGTCCTTGACATACAAACTGGCGTCAGGAGGACTTGAGAACTCACGTTCACATGAATCTGCGATAGATTCCTGCATTGTATCAGTTTTGTGATTAAAGCTGATGATAACGGAGAATATAGCCGATGATAATGAGAAAAATAGAGTCTTTTCTTGTAAATTTATCAGGCCAAATTATAGAGTCTGCGACGATTCGTTGTAGCTTGCCACCGCAGAAGTTCGCCACACTGGACTCGAACGAAAAATTTCAGTTTCATTTCCGTGCCACCAATCGACGTCCGCATGTCCGGTTCTCATCAAACAAACGAATTATTTACGCATCACAACAAACCCTCGCGAAAGTGCGTAGGTAATAACAAGGAAGGTTACGAGTATCACAAGAAAGGGAGCCGTACGACCAGAATGCACGCGACGTCGCAACGACAGGCCCTCTGTGGGACTTTCGGAGCTGCCGTGGACGCGCTGGCGGAGGTGGAGCGAGCGCGCGTCGCTACAGAAGAACGTCCGCGCCGGAGGAGGCGTTTTGGCATCCAGGAGGAGCGGAGGACAAGAGGCGGTCGCCAGGCGTGGTCATTGCAACTCTGAGGTGGTTTGCGACAATTGGCACAAATGCAATGGAATTTTTGAAGGTGGCCGGTAATTTGTGCATGAATCAGGTGTGTGAAGAACGATAAGGTGTCCACGGCGGTATAATGAGTGGCGCGTCGAGCATCGACACAACAAGCGTCTTTCACTTCCTACCTCGAAACATAAGGCTTTTGTGGCAGCAGTTTGACCACGTCACTTGCAGGATGTAGCCCAACATTTCATCCCAGGGGCTGGGGTCTGATATAACATTAAATAAGATCCAAGTTGTAGCAGCGGCCTTCTCTCGAGCGTCTCCCATTGATACGCACTCGGTATAGCGTCCACTGAGTAACCTTAACTTTATCTCTAGTTTCTTTTGACTTACCATCGCTATTGTCTTGTTTTCTATTGAATTTGTCGTGTGTTGGAGTTTGTAAGTCGCTTTATCTGAGTAACTTTTAATTGATATCCAGCAGGACAATGAGAGCAAAACAAGGCTGGCAATAAATAGGCTATAGAAATAATGCTCAGGAAATTGGGCGAGAGATGGCCGGTCATTTAGGCGACCATGTTGAGATCATGACTATTTAATACGGGCCCAATGAGGAGATAAAAGCCGCTGGTCCTGAGGACACATACTTTCGGGACTGATGGCCAGCAAGACAATTACGTGCGTGATCTTTTACGCAGACTTGTAACGATTGGTTTGTGTGGGGCTACATTCTCTTCTATATTACGCTTTCTCGTACAGCGTTCAAAAGACCGCACGACGCATACAACCGTTTATGAACAAACACACATACATGGACCAGGAGGCCGCCGCTCATGAACAATAGTGCAGAGACTGCAGCTTCAATAGAAACAAGGGCTAACCATTAATACTATAATAAGGAATTTACAGAGAAAAAAGTCAGTCATCCATATTCTTCTAGATGTCCTTGCTTGACGCTCGAAACCTTGGAACGATTGTGGAAAAGCGCACATGAATAAAATATGTTAATTGTTACTTTGTGGCCTCCCGCGAAATTTTCTCTAGAATAATTTCTCACGATAATTGTAAACAGTAGAAGCTCGTATTCAATTAAAGAAAGAGGCATTTCGTGTTTTTCTTACTTCTAAATAAATTAATTTCCAGCTATTCCAAGCTAGTGGAGTACTCATTATAGTTTCTCAATTCCGTTAGATTATTTTATTCATCGTAATGGATGTTCTGGTCCCAAAGTAATCTTAATTTTTGTTATTTTGAAAACGTGCGCGGACATATCGAGAGCTGAATAAGTCGCTGTCAGAAATATAAATAAGTTTGCAGTTGGTTCCGTTGAGTGTTCATATAATAGCGTTTGAATTAAGTTAGAACAATAAAACTTGCGCGCTGTCTTTCGAAGTTTTTCCCACATAACAGAGAAGCACTATATAAGGGCAAAATTGTTCATGATATGTCAGGCTAATAAATTGTGAGTGCATGAGGATCGGACAGTGAATGATAAAGGTGAATGAAGAAAGTTATAATGATGATAGTGAATGATGAAATCGAATGAAAAGAGTGAATAATATGAGAGTGAATGAATCGTGTGTTTGTGATATGAGAGTGAATGGTGTGCTTGTGAAAAGATTTGTATTTTGTCTGTGGAAGAAATAATTCCAGCTTTTCATGTACATGGCATTTCATTAAAAATTTAGTAAGCGTTAGAATTTTCATTGCAGCGAAGTTTTCAACACATCCAATAGAGGATATACTAGCCAGACCAATCGGTGTTGAAATTGCTACAACATATGTTCCGTCGATCTATAACTTATTGAAGCGCAACTATAATGTTAAAGGGAACCAAGAAAGAATTTTAACCGCAAACGCACACATTTTCAGCTCGAACGAATGTATGAAAAAATATTTCATGGGACAAAAAAAATACTCCCTCATTAAATATTACTTCATTAACATTTATCAAAACTCATTCATGAAATATTTTTTCCGTCTTTTACCATGTAATGATTAAAAATATTTTGAAAATATTTTGACTAAGCAGAAAATACTCCGATGTATAATTGCTGCATAGAAAAGAACATCATCAATAGCACATTATTTCTGACTACACCACATCGCAGAATATCGTTCCGTCATAATACATAAAAAATTAACGTGAATATGATACATGATGGTATTCATGTTATCATTATATATGAATGGTTTCGTTCTATGAATAGTATCATTATATGGATAGCATCATTTTATGAATGGTATCATCATATGAATGGGCATTATTTTAATAGCACTATTATATGAATGGTATCATTATGTATACACGATGCTCTGCATTGATGCAATTAATTATTTTGCCAAACTTAATCAGGGTGATCTACACAAGAGCAAACAGTGCATCTTAATAGGGACAAAGTCTTCCTTATTTCTCTGAGTGATACTGTAACTTCAAGTGACTTGGCTCACATGCTCGTAATGCTGACTGGTATTTTATACCATTCTTCTTGGCACACCACCTTAAGATTCTCAATGTTTGTTGGGGACCTTTTCTTAATTTGAATCTTCAAATACCGCCACAAATTTTCAATCGGATTTAAGTCCGGCGACTGGCTTGGCCATTCCATAACGTGTACATTTCTATCAGCGAACCATTTCCCAGCAGAAAATACTAGGATGTATAATTGCTGCATAGAGAACAAAATCATCAACAACGCATTTCTGACTAACACTATACATCGCAGAATATTGTTCTGTCATAATACATAAAAAATCAACGTGCATATGATACATGATGGTTTTTATGTTATCATTATATGAATAATTATTGTATCATTATATGAATGGTATTAGATGAATGGTATCATTATATGAATGGTATCATTATGTATACACGATGCTCTGCATTGATGCAATTAATTATTTTGCCAAACTTGATCAGGGTGATCCACACAAGAGCAAACAGTGCATCTTAATAGGGACAAAGTCTTCCTTATTTCTCTGAGTGATACTGTAACTTCAAGTGACTTGGCTCACATGCTCGTCGAGCGTTCATTGCTCATGATTGTCCGCCTAGTGGAGAAAAAAATGTCTTTGTTTCTCTTTGTTTTCTGTCAGTTCACTGGATAAATCGAAACAACTTTTAAACGCAGTCTACGTCAATGACATATATATGTCGCCACCCAGCAGATACTGCACTTATCGCGCCACTCTTTAAAAACCGCATATAATACTGTCAGAACTACGGCTTATTGGGTTTAATTAGACGTTTATTAAATACAATTACATACGGTTTATTAAATACAAAGCTGTTCCGATCGAGATAAAAAAATGTGCTCCCGTTTCACATTCAAAATAAATCGTTTCAAGTAAAAACCGAAGACATAAGTGCTGTGGCTATGTAACTTACTGTAAGTGGCCTTGCCGTTAGTAATTGAATGAATAAACTAACATCTAGACGCTGCTATCTGCCCACTCATCAAACTACTTGCGCTGAATAGTTCGGTCTCATAGATAAATTTTGTATCAAATTATATAGCAAAGCAAAGCGAGTGGCTTTAAGACACTTCAATTATGTCAAAATCGAATTAATCCACCCTTCAACCCAAATAAATCGAAATTGCCAGTAAGCTTCCATGTTCGAGTGAAAATACAGTCAAATTGTACTAGTCGTTGCCAGTTGATTCGAAAATAGGGTTAATAGATTCGTTAATATACTTTAGTTTCTAGTAAATAAAATTTTCAGCAAGTTTTCTAAAATTATTTCAAATAAATTAATTACATCTTTCATTAAAATTGAATTAAACAATTATAAAAACTTATTTATATTTTTGGTATTATTTTCATCTATGATCACGGAAGAAAATAAATTTCATCATGGAGAAAAATGAAATGCAGTAAAAATAAATTAAATTTTATGACAAAATCTGATCGAAAACTAGTCTATTTGAATATGAGTACTCGAAACCTTGGAACGATTGTGGAAAAGCGCACATGAATAAAATATGTTAATTGTTACTTTGTGGCCTCCCGCGAAATTTTCTCTAGAATAATTTCTCACGATAATTGTAAACAGTAGAGGCCCGTATTTAATTAAAGAAAGATCATTTCGTGTTTTCTTAGTTCTAAATAAAGTTCCACCTATTCCAATGTAGAATACTCATTATAGTTTCTCATGCTCCGTTAGATTATTCATCTTTAAAAAACATACTCCGTCATTAAATATTTCTAGATCAACATCACTCAAATCTCAATCAAGAAATCTTTATTAAGTCATTTTACCATGTAATGATTAAAAATATTTTGAAAATATTTAGACGAGGTCATCTTAATTTAATCGATCTAACCAACCTGAATCGTATCGTTCTTAGTGATGATATCTTTGATGTGAAGCGTGATGTTATTGGTAGCATCAATCACGTCAAACACAATTTCAACAGATCCCGAAATAGTGAAGTTGCCGTTAATCAGCGGCTGCAGTCGCAGTACGTAACTGAAGAAAAACATTACCACAGATAATTACGATGCAAAATTATGCATTTATATGGCGATCACATGCGTTTCAAATAATCAAAACCTTGGGATAAGTATCAAATTAAAGCTCTGTTAAGTTTACCAACCCTGGTTTTCTATTCGCATGAACTGGAGATGCAACTACTATTTGAAGATGCTGACTGGTATTTTATACCATTCTTCTTGGCACACCACCTTAAGATTCTCAATGTTTGTTGGGGACCTTTTCTTAATTTGAATCTTCAAAAGTCAGTCATCCATATTCTTCTAGATGTCCTTGCTTGACTTACTCGAAACCTTGGAACGATTGTGGAAAAGCGCACATGAATAAAATATGTTAATTGTTACTTTGTGGCCTCCCGCGAAATTT